ACAGCCCCCCAGTCCGGCCGAATCCCACTGTGCTACCCGCGACCGAGCGCCGCTCGTCCAACGCCCGAGACGGCACAGTCGGAAGCCGAGGGCCGGAGACAGCAGTTAAAAGCCAGGGCGCAGTCAGCGCAGGAAAAGCCGACAGCGCGGTCGGAAGCCAAGGCACGACCCAGCGGGATGACCAATCACGCCAAACAGATCACGCCAACCACCGGGAATGCACAATCGGACGGTGGTCGACGCGATGCTCGAATAATCTCCTCGTATGTGGCGGTTGGCGCTCGTGCCCGGACGAGACATGAGCCACCGCGGACGGCGCCGCGGACGGATCGGCGGTCGGACGCCGGCGCGGGCGGGCGCCGCTGGGACAGTGTGGCGGGCGCGGCCGGGCGCCGCTGAGAGCGGTGTGGAGAGCACGGGTGGGCGCCGCTGGGACGGTGTGGCGGGCGCGGCCGGGCGCCGCTGAGAGCGGTGTGGAGAGCACGGGTGGGCGCCGCTGGGACGGTGTGGCGGGCGCCGCTGGGGGCGGTATGGCGAGCGCCCCTGGGGCGGTGTGGCGAGCACGGGCGGGCGCCGCTGGGGGCGGTGTGGCGAGCGCAGCCGGGCGCCGCTGGGACGGTGTGGCAAGCACGGCCGGGCGCCGCGCCCGCTGGGGTGGTGTGGCGGGGGCCGCTGGGAGCGGTGTGGCCGGCGAGAACACGCCGACGGCCGGGCCGGCTGAGAGCGGCCGCCAAGGTCAGCCGATGCAATCAAGACAGGTAAACGCCGCCGAAGGCTGCCGCACCGAGAGCGCCGGCCGCTCGTCTCAAAACTGACGGGGTGGGGCGCCGAGCCCCGACAATGAGCACCAGACCGGAGTAAAGACCGAACCCCGACAATGAGCAACGAACCGGGGTAAAGACCGAATCCCGACAATGAGCAACAAACCGGGGTAAAGACCGAACCTCGACAATGAGAAACAAACCGGGCTAAAGACCGAACCCCGACAATGAGCAACAAACCGGGGTGAAGACCGAGCGCCAACAATGAGCGACAAACTGGGATGAAGACCGAACCCCGACAGTGAGAAACAAACCGGGGTAAAGACAAAACCGCACGCCTGAGAGCTTACGTTTCCAGATCAGGCGCCTGCAAACGAACTATTTATCACTTGTGACCGGATCTAGTGCTGATATGTACAAAGGCCTGCCTTCATGCAAACCTGATGAGTAGCCTTTACAAGAGGCGCTACGGCCGGAGGCTGTCTGATGGCATCAAAACTAGACCTTTGCCACATGCACAAGAATATGCAGCACGCCAACAAGCATGTCTGACATTGTGGAAAAACGACCGACGTGAATATGCAACGTCATAGCCCATCAGTTATTCTAACCGCGGGCTGTCGGCGTCCACAAACACGCTGAAATGGATCTGTTGGTTGTTCGTATCCATGGCAACGCCACGTCCAGGGGCCATACAAACAGTCGTGGCCAAGTATCGTCCACCAAGGACCACAACCGCTGTTTACATAATGTCGGTCTCGGCCAAGCTGCCACGGCCGTTGCGACCTCGCAGCCAATACGCATCGAAAAGAACGACGGAACACGAACAGACAGCCTGGCTTTCCGAATCGAGGGGTGCACAGCGGGCCTAGAGTCCAGTCTCGATTGGAGATAGTCCAGTCCAGTCCTCCAGTCCAGTCCAGTCCAGTCCAGTCCAGTCCAGTCCAGTCCAGTCCAGTCCAGTCCAGTCCAGTCCAGAAGCCGGACACGGGAGGAGCTCACCCTTGACCGGCGGCGTGGAACGAACCGCGCGAGGCCCAACCGCCGATACGCGGCGCGACCGAACACGAAAGCGGGCTTATCTCCGTTTGCAGGCTCAGTGAAACGATCCATCGGTTGCGCGTCGGAGCGCGACGTCCCGAGCGGCAGCCGGTGTACCGCCACCCGAGCGGCGTCGGCGCACCCTGCGCGCAGGTGCCGCTGGTGGGAGAACGGAACCTCAGACAGCCGGGGCGCGACGTCCCGAGCGGCAGCCGGCGTACCGCCACCTGCGCGCAGGTGCCGCTCGTGGGAGAACGGAAACTCAGGCAGCCGGGGCGCCGCGACCGAGTGTGACACGCTGTGTGTCGAACGCCTGTGACGCGCACTGCTGGTGATGTCCCGCATCACGTGCGTGAGCCCGACAAGCGCCAGTGATTGAGTGGTGAGTATGTTTGAGAACGACGTGCGGGAATCCGTAGGCGCAGCACATCCACGCCGCGTTCCTCGCGGTGTCTGCTTTCTAAGTCCAGCAGTGGGCACGGAAAGAAAGCGCTAGTCGTTCGACGCAGACGGCAAATAAAGCACGGAAGAAAACGGGGAAGTCACGAATCCCAGAGCGGACAGGCAGAAGAAACAAATTCCTCCAGACGTCAGCATCGCGCTGTACAGAAGTCTCGAGCGCTGTCTCATCCCCACCTCCGTCGGCGCCGAATGCGTCCTCTGCCTGATTTGAAAAAAAAAACACTTTCTCGTCACGTACGAAAGCACACGGCTTCGAGACAACGCTGATGGACCGTTTGAGCTCATCAGTCTCGCACGGTTCTCCGGTGCTGCGGCTGGGGCGGTCTCCTGTGGCGTCTGCCCAGCAGTCTGCCTAGCGGGGCAGAGTTTCTGGACGCTGATTCGAGGGAGATAACGCGGCGGATGCCGGCGCCCGCCGGACTCATCATCCATCCATTCATCTTTACTCCACCCCTCCGCTCTCAATTAACTTGGACAGATACGCGGTACATTTGTCTTCCTTCCATAGTCCAATCCAATCAAGTATTTAATTTCGATTTCATAAGCGAACGTACCGTAACCGAGCAGAAGATATATCTATCTTGGAAATAGGTGATACATTCCTTCTTGCACTAGCTGTTCGGGACCGTGCACTCCACGCGTGGTGTTTTTTTCAGCGTAAGCTCCCGTCGCTTTCCAAATAGCACATTGCCCAACACGCCACTAACAGCCTCAGCATGCTCCCATCCAGTGCAGCCCATTGTAATTGGACACAAAATAGTTCTGCAGCTTAGCCAGTGGGCTGGAACATCAAACCTCAATGACCACTGCCACAAAACGACCGAGACAAAGACGTTTGGCGAGAAAAACAAGCTCGGTGTGCCGCGAAAAGCCCGCCACATCACCGTCAACACAACACAACACGTGACTGAATGCGGCCATTAGACATGGGAGAATGGCCTGGGTCGGGCACGACCGGCTCCCCACGGAGGCTTCCCGATGAGAAGGCCACGAGACCCGGATTTTGTCCGCCGCCTCCCCCCCCCCCCCCCCCCTCATCCACGCGGTGGTACGGCGCCGACCGTTCCAGTCCCCTCCTCACCGCGCCGCACCACTGTCACTGGCAGGTGGCGAGCATCAGAGCTATGGGATCACGAAGGTCGCGTGGCGGTGACGACCCGGCCCGACCGGGGCGGCCAGGGCGGCGCATCACGGTGGAAGACGGGCGGCCGGCGTCATCACGACGCAGGTAACATCACCTCGGCTGTCGACCTACGACACCGCATGGAACGACACGAAATTGAAGAAACAAAAACATCCCGTTCGCGGCCAACCGCAGAGACGCCGAGCCGTCCGGTTGGCCGTCCGGCGGCGGTCGTGGTGGCGCGCCACGAGGTGGCCGGGGAGCGCGCCGAGAAGTGGCCACCGCGTGACGTAACACCGTGGTGGCGGCGCGCCCAGTGTCACCGGCGCTGCAGCGGGGGGGGGGGGGGCAGGCGCCCCGCCGCCGCTCCCTCCGACGTACCCGGCGCACCGGAAGGTCGCGGAGGTGCGCCCGCAGGCGGCCGCGACCTGAGGTGACTGACCCCGGCAGCGTTCCGCTCTTGCCCGGCTGCCGACGCCGCGACCCGGGCGACAACACGAGATCGCCCCAGCGCCCCGCCGTCGCACCACATCACGTGTATCGATGCGTGCGTGCGTCCACTTGCCGCGACAAAGCTGTGCGCCTGACGAGGCCAACCCCGTCCACCGTGAGGAATCGGCCAGGCTCCCGGCGCCGGGGTCAGGCCGCGGGCGGGTCTCAGCCCCGGAAAGGCTTAGTAGGGTGCGGCTGGGGAGGTCACTGAGTCATACCGCCTGGGCGGCCCGCGCCCACTCCAGCACGCTCAGCCTTTTCAGACACGTCAGCCATTGCGATACGGTGCAGAATGCTGTACGAGCAGCATACTGCGCATGCGCCGTCCCTCCTTCGGACGTGCCAACTTAAGCCTCGCGTTCCGTAGAGCAATACGGTAGTAGCACAGGGTGTTCGTCAGCTGTACGGATCGGATAGATCCAATACCTGACTTACATGCCGCCCTGCCCATGCTGCGAGCTGGAAGTCGTTTCATATTCATTCCGCTCGTATTCAGCCTGCTGACCTGGCGGTGGCGGGGCCGGACTTAACTCAGCTACTCGTAACTTACCTTCACATTTACTGACTCGCCTGGCGTCTCGCTCTGCTCGTCCCGGTAGATCCGGTGGACCGGCGTCACACTCACCGACTGATCTCGAACGCCAATGAGGCTCTTCTCGTCCCGGTAGACCCGGTGGACCGGCGTCACACTCACCCGACTAATCTCGAACGCCATGCGGCTCTGTTCGTCCTGGTAGATCTTGCGCGAGGCCCGCTTCTCAGTCGTCAGCACGTTGAGTTTGTCGATGACCCCCCGTGGCCAGCGTCTCGGCGTTGGCGCGGATCAGCCGGCTCAGCGACTCGGTCTCGTCCATCATCGTCGACCAGGCCTGCCGGTCGCACGGGGGGGGGGGGGGCTGGTAACGCGGCCGCGGTAACGGTCGGGCAGGCGGAGGGCACAGCGGTCGGTGGCGTTTAGCAGTCATGTATCAGCTACGATCGCTTGACAATCGATAGTTCTCATGCTGCCTGGCACCGACTGCACGCCTCGATTAAAAATCACCGGCGGCGAGATCGGGGCGGTGATTTTAGAATCTATTCTGGCGTTCCGAATCACTGGTCTACAACCATTTGGAGAACATCACTATAGTTTATTTATCATAATGGTCGAGGCAAATCGAGTCTTTAGTCTAGATGTACAGACAGAAAGTCGACCAATCGTGCCATAGTATCCGGTTGGGTAACGCATGGGTGCACGAGCGTGTGAAATCGCTGATAATAGATTGCGACACATTTCTGCGGACAAAACACCGCCACACGGTGCAGCAAAACTGCGAAAAACAAGCGGTTTGCATAACAAACGCAGCTACCGCAAAGCCTAACCGACCATCACGGAAGTCGCCGCACGGAAGCTTCCCACGCGCTGCCGCCTCTCCGACCCCAGCCGGCACCCCGCGGCCACTGACCTGAGCGATGAGGCTGCCCGCCATGTCCTCGGCGCGCTCCCACTTCTGCGCCTGCGCCACGACCTGCGTGAGGCCGGCGGCGTACTCGCGGTCGCACTTGACACGCAGCTGGAGGCAGCGTCGGATGGTGTCCATGAGGCGGAGCTCGCAGTCCTGGCGCGACAGCAGCGCCTCGTGGCTGGCGCGGCCCTGCAGAGCCGAGCTGAAGCCCATCCTCAGCCTGCCGCCGGGGGACGGCGCGTCAGCGGCGCGCGCGCGCTCACACACACACTGGCCGCGCTCGCGACCCAGGCACTGCTGCCGGCGGCGCGGAGCGAGCCCGAGCGGCACGGCGTCACACCGATGGCGCGCTGCCGGCGTCCCGCGCGGCGCTCCCACGGCCGCGGCGGCGCGGGTGAAAGTGAGCGCGCCGGCCAGCCGGTCACCTGCACGGCCGGCCGCGCGGCCCGCCCCCGACGCCGGCGCCGCCCCTCGCGCGCACGGGCCGGCCGCCGCGGCCGGTCGGTGAGTCAGCCGCCGCGCGGCGCCGCCGGCCGCCGCGCCCCGGCCGGTAAGCAGATGCGCCGCCCGGCACGCACCGTATCAACGCCAGCCGCACTCACCTGCTCCAGGCCGCGTCGATTAGTGATTCCAACCGCTCCATGGCGCGCGGCCGGGCGCCGGCGGCCGCGCCGGCGGCCAGGGCGAGCGAGCGCGCGGGTCCCGCAGCGCCGCGGCGCCTCGAACAATACCCCCTCGCACTCGCCGGCCGGCGGCTGACGCCGCGTTAACAAGCCCGTCGCTGTGCGGCCAGCTTCTCCCCGGAAAGGCGGCCCCCTCTGGAACGGGCGCGAGCCATTGTCGACCGCCGCCGCCGGACAAAGCGGCGCCGGACGTGTGACCGGGTGCACGCCTCCGGCGGCCGCTACAAAGCCGCAGGACAGTTATGCGCCGGTCGGAGCGGGCGCCGACGGCCGGGCGGTGAATGACGGGCCGTGTGAGGCCGTGGACGGATGGGCGATCATCGCGAGCGCGCGTTCCCACCCGGCGGCGGCCGCACCGGAACCGGCGCGCTCATCTAATCAAACAGCGGGCGATAATGGATGCGGCCAGCGCCGGATCGGTGCCAGCGGCGGTGGCGGCGCGGCCGTCAGACTTTGGGCGATGGGCGCCGCTGCCGACGACGAGTTTTCGGCCTGCGGGGGGCGGAACCTCGCTCGGCTGCCGGTCGGCGAGCGGTGCGCCTCTGATGACCGAGCCACGTTGTGCTATCAACGCACCGCGGCCTGACGGCAGGTCACCCTTCTGCTACGCGCGTGCCGTGGGCCTGGTGGCAGGGCTTCTCTGATATCTGCGAGCATAGCCGGCCTTCCGCTTTTGGCGAGAGGACAGTGTCACCGCAATGTCCCTCAGCAGCGGGTTGCTGGCGGCAGAATCCCGCCCTAACACCGGCCAACAGAGACACGGCAGACCCATGGGGGCAGACCCACGGACACAAACCCCCACTTGCGTTAACAGCGGGCCCGTGGAGCTCGACGGTGCTGCAGCAGCGGCCTCTGCCGGCCGGCGTTCGCTCCCTCGCCAGTAAACCGCGAACCAGACGGCACGACCGCCGCCGGCTTCGGCGGGCAGCGGCCCAACGGCGACGCCAATAATAAAGGCACGCCGTCGGTATGGCAGCCAGCTCGGCGCGCCGCGCCCCGCGGCCCGCCCGAGCTGGCTCTCCGACAGAAGGCGGGCGGGCGGCGCCGATTTCTGAATGGACCCAGAGGCAGCGCGCACTTCCGACGCCTACTAAAATTAGCGGCAGCGCCGCGCCAGCCGCTCGGATACGGGCGGAAGCCGACGAGTCGCCGCCCGGACGCCACGCGGGTCCAAAAAGCCGACCCCCTACCGACGCCGGCCTCGCATACGGCACGACAGCGGCGCAAGGTCCACAAGCGCCGGCTCCGCCAAAACAAACGGCGGGGCCATTAAGCTAGGGCGTCATCGCGAATCGCAGTGCGAGCGCCGATATGAATGGCATAAGCACGTCACGCCCGAGCTAGACAAGCGCGCACGGGACGCCAATGACCTATCAATCGCACAAAGAACGCAAGCAGCAACGCAAGGGCCCCAAGAGGTGCCACGATCGACGGATCAGGGGCTGAGGGACCGCCGGGCGGACGGCGGGACGACGGCGGCCCGGGTCTGCCCTCCGCGGAGCTGAGACGGCTGCGCGGCGACGGGCACCGCACGCGCGCACAGACCGCGCACTCGAGCCGCACTGACAGCCGGGGGCGCGCCCTCGAGGCCACGCCGGCGCCAATTGTGCCGAATCAAGCCAATTGCGGCGGTTTGCAGGGCGTTATTTTGGCCGACGCCGGCGATGCGGCTCCTCGACGTCACGGTCAGGTGCGGCACGTGACGGCGGCCACCGGCGCGGCACGCAGCGCGTCCGGCCGCGCGGCGGCGGCGGCGGCGGCGCCCCTCCCACCGTCGCGGTCACGTGCGGTGACCTCTGCTCGGCGCGGCGCGTCCCCCCCCCCCCCCCCCAGCAGTGGAAGCGATGGGACGGACAGGGGACCGGAGCGGTGACCCGACGCGTGGGCGGACCGCCAGCAGCTGGGCGCGCCGACCAGGCCGGCGCCCGCGGGCAGCGTCTGCAGCGAGCGCCGTCACACTCGGGTGCGTGCCGAACGGAGGACGTAGCGGATCGTTTGGTCCTTTCACGGCTCATTCAGCTGGCGGCTGCACGCTTCCGAGTGAATTCCGGCACCCGGCGGCCCGTTGGTTCCGACATTCCGCTGCTGGCGGCTTCCATGAAGACAGACTTGTCGTGACAGGAAACCGCGCGGGCGTAATGGAATGCACGCTTGCGGAGACTCGCTGAGAAACAGCCAGCGACGTTGTGTACAACACTTACGGAGAGAGAAAGGCCACGAAAACACCTGTGTGCTTTTCCAGCCAAAAATTGTCATGCCCCACCGACCACACTGTTCTTTGCTTATGCTCGCATGTCCGGCGCGGTCAAGTGGTCCGCCAACTCCACCTTCGTTCTCTCACAGCTCGCGGGGAAGCCAATGAAGCCTGGCCCCTCCACGCGCAAAAAAAATCGACCCCACGCACGGAACTAGGCACTGGCACCAACGCCAGCCCACCCAGCTCGCTGGTTTGGCAGAGCTGGGAGGGTGGGCGGTTTGCATCTGCGATCAGATCACGCACACGCCTCTCCTCAAAATGGACCCCGCTGCGGCTTGGCACATACTGACACCGACTGGCTAACAACACACGACAGCCGTGCATCCCTATGAATCAGCGCACCACTCAGCCCCTCCCCCCCCCCCTTCACAGGGACGGCCGCAGTTGGTTGCCATCCCCGTTTCCGGCGGTGGGCATCCACACCAGGCGGGTAATTGGTGCTTTCGATGACGTCGAAGACGACAAACCGAGCAAACGGCAACTACATCGGTAGTCGAACACCCGGATCGGCCAGCTGGCCCACATAGAGTGGATTTCGCTGACACGCCCCCCACCACGCCAGCCAGCCGGCACCATCGACTGGAGGCAGCCCCGTCCGCCGTCGGATGAAACACACTGCGGCGGCGCCGCAGACCGCACCGGCCGGCCGCCCGACAACAGGCCCGGAGGGGTCGGGCCGGGCCGGGCCGAGTCGGGCGGGATCTGGCACGGCCGGCCGGAGGCGTCGCGGCCGGCTCGCGTGAAACGTGGGCGTGTCACGTCAACGGTAAGCCCCGGGCTCCGTGACAGGCCCACGGCCGTGGCGAGCTCGTGCAAGCTTAGTTCACACGCGGCGCTAGGATTGACACAGTCGTGAGCCGGGCGTTACTTGAAACGGGATACGAACATTACCGGGGTCAATGGTCACATGCTGACACCGGTACCCTTCACAACGCGCGTACATAGATCCGTACTTGTCGGCGAAATGCAAGAAAGACGGCAAAGCTAGTTTGTCCCGGCGAGATCCTGTTCGGGATCGGACCACCGACGCATTCATGGAGAAATTTCAGCCAACCAGCTCTCCATTTGGGGCCGTCCAGTGACTGGCTCGCACATCCATACGGAGGATGCGATGGGCAGGAACATGCGCGCTGAGTCCGACGCTCCTCATGAATCGGAAGCCAGCTGGGCGAGCTGCCCCTCCGCACAAGACCAGCGCCGGGGCCGGATGGACCGCCGCACACCAGGCGGCGCTCCGGCTGGCGTGTCGGCGCCGAGCCGCGGCAGCTCATCGGCCACAGCCGTCAGCGAGCCGCTGCTTCTCGGAGCGGGCGCCCGCGCTCGACACGCGTATGTGCGGCAGACAGACCTGTCAGCGACTCGACGCGCGGTTGTCTGACAGACAGACCTGTCAGCGACTCGACGCGCGGTAGTCTGGCAGATAGACTTGTCAGCGACTCGACGCGCGGTAGTCTGGCAGACAGACTTGTCAGCGACTCGGAGCGCGGTTGTCTGGCAGACAGACCTGTCGGCGACTCGAAGCGCGGTTGTCCGGCAGACAGACCTGTCAGCGACTCGAAGCGCGGTTGTCCGGCAGACAGCTTCACCAGCGACACGCCGCACGACGGCCGGGCAGACCGGCGCACTCTGGTCAGCGCCCAGCCGCCGGCAACACAGCCACACCTCAGACCGGGCCCGCACCGTGTGCCGCTGCCAGCGGGCCCCAGCGAGGCAGCTCTGCCGAACGCCGCCGACTGTGCCGCGCCGGAGGTGCCGGCAGGACGGCTGTTGGGCCGGCTCCAGCCGACGCCGGGCCGCCGGCCGGACCGGGACCGTTTTAGCCCGCGGACCACACCCACCCCCGCGCTGGCACCGCGTCCGCCGGAGGCCGGGCGTGGCCACGCGGTGCCCCACCACGCATGCGGCCAACTCGGTGACGGAAAACGGGCAAGCCGTCTTGTTGTCCGTCCCAAACACCAACGAAAATAGATGTGGGAGGGAGACTGGGGACCTTTCATTGGAGGTCCTCGTCGCAGCATCAAAGTTTACAGAGGGCATAACTTTGCATGATAAAATTAGCTGTACAATAACAAAATCCAGCTCTTGGGCTTCATTTAAATGTTATGGCAGATTAAATAGATGTGATGCATTGCCAGGAAGGAACCAGAGCACTTTACATCCTGATAATGCAAGGTGACAATGCCAGTAATGGGCGTCATTGCATATGGTTCCCTGACCTACATTGCAAAGCTACCTGCGTTTCAAAGAATGACACCAATTTTCACTGATGATGGCCTCCAGCCACAAAACATACTTATGATGTTGATGACTGAGGCAGAAGGATAAGGACATGTCGATGGCGGCGGTCATTTTGCGCCCATCAGGACAGACTCATGCACAATAAAACATATATAAGTGGCTGTTGATCCACTATTAGGCAATTTTCATTTGCATTTGTATGTTGAATTACATTCACAGCTTTTGGATGCAATGCTGAAAAAGATGCAAGGTCAGGTAGATGGATGAAGAGGCTGCATCATCTCCCAATGATCCAATATTTTGCTCTGGCTCAGTGTTTAACACGCATTCACGCCTACTGCAAGTGTACAAGGATCCAGTAAAGCCATAATGTTAAACATGTTTTCAAGTATGCTGATGCTTACATGACAATCACTTCACACCTAGGGTTTACATGTGTTTGGACATCATCTTGAGTCAAATACCCTACATTTCTGACAATTTGCATAATATCCAAAACTTGAGCCACATTCTTGTTAGAAACTTTGATTTCTGAATGATGTTCATGCATCTCAGGTGATGCCTAAGTTCATTGTAGGTGGTATGTGCTTCTGATGGATTTTGACAAACTCTTGTGGTTTGAATAAAGGTGGTTTGGGTTCATTTCCTGCATCCACTGATTCTAGATTCCAATGCCAGGCCATAAACTCATTGGGCATAACTTATGATTTGGTCTTGATTAAACCCACAAACAATGTGTCAATGTCATTCCAGGACATTGTAAATTGCATCAAAACATTCCTTGCACTACATAATACTACATCTTTACTATGCCCTACTGAATGAAGCCATCAAAAAGTCTGTGGTTCTGACCTATTTCCATGGTGGCCTTTCCTTGGACACTAGTTTGATCTTACATCAGACCCTATGGTGATCTCACAATCCCTTTATACCCATTTTGCAAATCACAAAGCCATGAAAACATGAAGACAACATACTTAAAAAAACTGGCCACAGGCAGAGCAGTTGGCTCAAAATTGCCTCCAGAACTTCTTCAGTCAAGACCTGCAGATACATTGCATTTCACAACCCTCTTTACCCTGGGATCTAATGACCAGACCAAATACATGTTAAATGGTAGTTGACATCTGTGGTCATTACAATTAAACAATGGTAGTCTGATCAATGATAGCACCATTGGTAATATCAAATATTGAAAACTACCCCATAAGTTTATAGCATTGCAGTGCCTTTAATGAGTGTGACTGCAACTCCAATCAAACAGCCAAATGACAGAACACATTTTCTGCATTGCAAGCATGTCAAATCATCAATACAGTGTATCCATCATGATGGTACAAATTTTTATGTGCAGTACTGACTGTGTCATACTATCAACCACTTTTGAAAATGCTACATCATTTATATCAAGACATGGTAGCCAATCAACTTGAAATTACTTTTAGCACTCGGCATTAACTGGTATATTCAAAGGGAAATAAGATTGGTACTTGCATACCACAACTGCTATAAGAGTTAATGCTATCTGTATAAAAATTATGACACTTATCTAGCATCCAAGGTAACTTTGCAAAGTTTGATTGCATGTTCAAAACATGTGCCTGCATTCCTATTCAAGAATATGAGGAATACTGATATAACTCTGCCAGTACAGTATTGCCACAAACAAAATGGATGTTGACCCTGCTATCACCCCCTGTTGCAGTAGTAAAAAAAATAAAAGGGGTAAAGGTAGGAGTAGGGTTAGGTTATGCTAAGATGGGTTAGGTTAGATTAGGTTAGGTTATATCACATTAGATTAAATAAAGCAAAATTGCTGACCTTATTAGGCCAGCAATGTCACTTGTTACTACAGTGCTCAGAAAAAAGCAAATCCTACATTCTTACAATGATCCTACACAAAATGCATTCCATGCTGCATGGCACAACAGCCATGGGGACCAGTTTGTGGGCACATGTGTTACTAATATCATTCCACTCCAATTATCATGCAATAGTTCGGGAAATACGATGTGACATGCTGAAGCAAGAGCATACCAATAGCTACAATCATCGTAAGTGATTATTAATGCAGATTTTGACAGAAGGATTTCACTTTGATCACAACCTACAAACATGCAGAGCACCAGCGCCATATCCACAGCAATCCACCCAAGAAAACATACTGAGTGACAGCTTCATGTCAGTGTAAATTGATTAGACATCAACATAAGTGCAAACAGCACGATTACAAATCATTGGCGGGAACTAAGTAACTTCGCTAACACGTCCTGTCCGCGATACCACGCACAAACACAAACACATACGGTCCAAACAGTTTACTTGTCATGTTTGGTCCTTCCCTTCCGGAATGGGAGGAGTAGCTTACCAGCAAAGAAGTGTAAGAAGTGAAGATCTCGAAAAGATTCAGAATATTGGCTCCGTGGTAAAACCAATGCAATAAAGAAACGGTGTGAAATGGGCGGGCGATAACCGCAACCAGTGATAACTCACATCAAGCGCACACAACCCGCAGCATTTCCGTGATGACTGTTACGCTCTTGCGCCTTTTGCGCCATATATGTATAACATAAAGTTTTGCGCGTGTGCGACATAATGTGACGCAAACTATAAATCCTGGTTTTTTCAAGGTCTTGCATTTTCGCCTTCACTTTCATTATATATTTCGTTGTTAGGGTAGGTGGTAGAAACGTCACGAATGTTTTTGAGATTTGATGATGTGTACCTGCTGAGTGGGTCAGAAAGGCAATCCTCAAGCTGTCTGAATCTCCTGATGTGTAACAAATGACATCCTCGTTTTGTTCAAAAACATGCTCATTAATACTGCAAATCCCAACAGGCCACAGGGTGTGTCCTTGGATCATGTGTGCTTTTTCGACCGGTGCATTCATTACCTCTCAGTCAGGCTTAAATTTTCTCAGATAGGGTCAAGGATTGTTGTCTGGAAGTTGGAAGGCAGTGGGGAAAACACCCAAAGGTTGGGGTTTGGAATTGTTCACATGATTGTGCTACAGATTTGTGTTTTAGTTGTGGAGTATGAGGTTATGTGAATGATAGTGACTGGAAAAAATTGTTAGGAAATTTGTGATTCATTTTGAGAAAGTTAGATAAAACTAGTTGATGTAAATGGTCATATTTTCAGGCAATTGTAAGTTAAAAAGCTGTGCATGGCAATAAAAAACTTCCATTCCTTTTTGTCACCAGCCTGAAATGCTTAGTGTCATGTTTTCATTTCTACCAGTGGATTTAAATGTATCCTACACTGGTGAAAGATGTGATTAATTGTTTTCCTGTTTTCAACCACAAATTTGGTGACCTATGTTTTCTCGTCACCAAGGAATGTAATACGTGTTTCAAGTTTTGGTACACAGATACAGTGATATGTTTATTGAACATGTTTTAAATTAATTTAGAATAGGCTGTTTACTCATGTGTTTGTGTTTCGCAGGTTCAGCTTAGAAGCTGTGGAGTGCTTGCATTGTGCAGTGTAACTTGTCACTGTTGGTTTTGCTACTTGATCTTCCCAGAATTTGGAACCTGTGACTTACTAGTTGAGATCAAATCAACTGCAATTTACATTTTTGGTTATGTCTGCACTCCTTCACCAACGACTGCGGACCAGTGCAGCTCTTGGGCGAGCCTTCACCAGGTTTAGTTCATCTGATAGCAAAGTGAAGGTTTGTAATTCCTTGTGCTTACTTTGGGCTGTCCTGGACTCATGCTGTCTCATATATTCCATTGCTGTTTTAGGTACTCAGACTATTTAAAACTATTTCATTCATGGGATAGCTTTTCTTCCAGAAGAAAAGTTTGAGTTGTGTGTTTCTCTTGCAGAATGAAAAGTGCATTTGGGGGCAGTTTGTTTTTGCTTAATATGGTGCCTTTGAAAGCACACAGTTCATGGTCATTATTTGCACTCTGAAATCATGGTGCAATAGTGAACATATTGTTTTGACATGTGATATGAAACATGGTCTCATAGCCTAGTTAGCCATGCGTCTTCATTCTGTCATGTTGCAGAATGGGCTGGTGCTTTGTGTCTACAAAGATGGAGATAAGTGTTCAATGACAACTGAAACCAAAAAGTTTAATGAGAGGCTTGGTGGTCACCTCACAGAGCTGCTTGAATGGTGGGTGTTATGTTTTTCATGCTTCATTGGTCTGTTACCTGTGTTTTTTTTTATAATTATGAGCATGTGCATCAGTATATGGATCCCTAATATAATCAATGCTATGTCATGAGCCATTTTTTCAGTATTTTGTGCATTAATATGAAGCTAATATGGATGAATGGCAATGAATGGTTTTGGTAACTATTCTAAAAATATGCTTCATTCTGGTGCAAAACTGATGTAATCATGCATTGCTTCATTACATCTTAGTGACCACAACAGAGCATGATGGTCTCACATGTGACTGCTGTGAGCCAGTACAGATCAGCACAGCCACACATTTTTAAGCCCCAGCTTACGCCTGCGTCCTCACTCCGTCCGCGTGTGCGACAGTGCCGGCATCTCGGGAAAGCTGGCCACGCCGCGGCTGCTGTACGGCCTGACTGCCGAGTTCCCTTGCGTGGCCGTGGTCGGGCTCGGCGAGAGCGCCGAGCAGACGGTGGACGACGCTGAGAACGTCCACCAAGGCCGCGAGAACGTCCGCCACGCCGTCGCCAGTGAGTGCACCGTCCATGGTGTACACCTGTCGGCTGTCTCACGACACTGAGCCGGTGCTCTTCGGGCGCCACCGTCGTCGTTTGGCGGTGACGGCGACTGACACTGACACTGACGTGTGCGTGTGTGTGTACGTGTGTGTGCGTGTGTGTGCGTGTATGTGACTGTGTCAGCTCTGCAGGGCGTCAGCTGCAGCCATGCGGTGTGTAGCATTGGCAGACAGCATGCAAGCCCTATGATGCATGGGCCATAACCACGTGTCAGCCGTGTGTTACGTAAGCCCCAGCCATATGACGTCGACAGGCGGCGTGACGGCCCTGCGTGACGTCCAGTGCAGTCACGTGACGGTGGAGCCGACCGAGCACGCGGAAGCGAGCGCCGAGGGCGCGCACCTGGCGCTCTGGTCGTACGACGAGCTGAAGGCCGAGGCCGACCGTCAGCGGCCGGTGCAGCTCAGCTGTGCCGGCGGCGACAGGTGGGCGCTCCTTGCCGACCGCGCCGGGGATCCGCCGGCCCGCCCTCCAGGCCGTCTGCTGACGGTGACAGGGCCGCGTCCTGTCCAGCGTACTTGTGGTTTGTTGGATTAGATGTCATGGTTGTGTGTTGCATTTGGGGCTTGTATGGTTGGCATAACGTATGCTATCTCGGTGTAGGCGATTTTGATAGGTGTGGTTACGCGACTGTGGCTTGAAAGCTATCGGTTCAGTACTCCTGCTTTTGTTTTGTCAGTGAGCTTTGGCGCCGTGGTGCCCTGAAGGCTTCCGGACAGAACCTGGCGAGGACACTGATGGAAAGCCCCAGCCAACTACCTGACTCCCACGCTCTTCTGTGAGGTCAGCATTCTGTGGTGTCGGTCAGGTGTGACTCAGCGGATCTGTGATGGTCGGGAGTAACGCTCTTCGGATGCAGTGGCGCGGACTTGTGCGTTAGAGATTTAGATTGGGTTTTCGGTTGGAGTGGCGATTTTTAGTTGGAGTGGCGTGGCGACAATACAGCTGGCCCACCTTGTCAGCTGTTTGGGAAGCTCCTTTACGTGCGACGTGTGACTTCTATTGCATGGCAACAGGAAAATGAAGTTAGCGTAGCATTGAATTATCTCAATGTAGATTGCCAATGCCAATGCTCATTCCATAAAATATTCTAAAACAACCGAAGTGTCTGTTCTTTGCTTTATTGCACACGGAGGGATGGATGTGGGTTCCGACCCGTGCCCGGCTGCGCGGTCTGCAGTGTGATCCCCTCCCATCGGCCAGCGTGTCTCGGAGGCCATGTCTTCGCTGCCGGTGGAGGTGGTGGTGCGGGACGAGGCCTGGATCCGTCAGCGAGGCATGGGCGCTTCCTTAGCGTGTCGCGCGGATCGGCCGAGCCGCCGCGCTTCCTGGAGCTGAGCTACAGCGGCGCCGGCGCCGACGCTGCGCCGCTCGCCGTCGTCGGTGAGCGATAGGGATTCCCCGCCCGGCGAGGGGACTCCCGCCCGGCGAGGGGGCTCCCGCCCGGCGAGGGACTGTCGCCCGGCGAAGGGGCTCCCGCCCGGCGAGGGGACTCCCGCCCGGCGAGGGGACTGTCGCCTGGCGAGGGACTCCCGCCCGGCGAGGGGGCTCCCGCCCGGCGAGGGGGCTCCCGCCCGGCGAGGGGACTGTCGCCTGGCGAGGGGACTCCCGCCCGGCGAGGGGACTGTCGCCTGGCGAGGGGACGGTCGCCCGGCGAAGGGGCTCCCGCCCGGCGAGGGGGACTCCCGCCCGGCGAGAGGGCTCCCGCCCGGCGAGGGGGCTCCGCCGGGGGGCGAGGGGGCTCCCGCCGGCGAGGGCTCCGCCCGGCGAGGGGGACTCGCCTGGCGAGGGGGACTCCCGCCGGCGAGGGGATCCCGCCCGGCGAGGGGCTCCCGCCGGCGAGGGGGCTCCCGCCGGCGAGGGCTCCCGCCCGGCGAGGGGGCTCCCGCCCGGAGGGGGCTCCCGCCGGCGAGGGGACTGTCGCCTGGCGAGGGGCTCCCGCCCGGCGAGGGGGCTCCCGCCCGGCGAGGGGACTGTCGCCCGGCGAGGGGGCTCCCGCCCGGCGAGGGGACTCCCGCCCGGCGAGGGGGCCCCGCGCCTGACGAGGGGGCTTCCGCCCGGGAACGAGACTCTCGTCCGGCGATGGGACGCTGGTCGGAGGACAAAGAGGTGCTGTCTTACTGTTGCTGTGGCCGACGATTGAAGGATCGCGTCCGAGTGCCGGGAAGGGTGGGCAGGAATAGCAGAGTGGCTGAAATGTGGGGTGTCCAACGGCAGCCGATGTGTTGCGTGGCTCCGATTTTGGTATAAGCGTTTAGGACTGTGGTCAAACAAAGGCTAGGTTTCTGTTCAATTTTGGGCCGGGCAGCAACCATGTGCGAAATTCTCACCGAAACGCTCGTAAATTGTCTTTACTGCACGAGCATTGTTTGCACAACTGCATACCGCGACCGCCTTGCCTTTCCTCCGCCCGTCACCGCCTCTCTCGCCGCCAGGCAAGGGCGTCGTGACGTTCGACTCGGGCGGCATCTCGCTGAAGCCGGCCAAGAACATGGACACGATGCGGGCGGACATGGGCGGCGCCGCCTGCACGGTGGGCGTGCTTTACGCGGCGGCGCAGCTCGGGCTGGCGGCCAACCTGCGCGCTTTCATACCCCTCTGCGAGAACATGCCGGGCAGCCGCGCCACCAAGCCCGGCGACGTCGTCACCGCCATGAACGGCAAGACCGTGCAGGTGCGGCGGGCGCGCACGGCTGGCCAGCCGGCTGGCTGGGTTCCCAGCTGTTGGGTCTGGTCGGAAGCAGCCTGGACAGTGA